CACAGGCTGCTTGTTGTTACATGTCTTGGATGGCTTTTTGAGGTATTAGTCTTTCTGCATCTATTGTTAAATTTATATATAAAAACTCTTATCCCATTAATTCTCTTCCCAGCTCATCTTCCTCACAAATTTCTGCCCCAGTTTTTGTTCACCTTTTCATGTTTATGTCCTTCCTTTTCCTTTCTTGAACAATTAGTTAAGCTTATCTTTCTCTCATTTTGCTGCTTTAGTTTATTGTTTAAAGTGTCAGTTTTTTATCCTAGACTCCTGTTATTCCAGAGTCTTTGTTTTTCAAATCATTTGAAGATCCTACAAGTCTCCATGACAACATAGCAGCTCCTTTGTCAACGTCTTTGGTATGTTTTTTGATCACTTGGAAAGTTTATTATACAAGAGTTATTACCATTATTAACAATGTTTTTTGTAGGACTCCTGTGACATTGCAGATCAGCAAATGCTGTATTCCTGCTGTCCATATCTTGGTGAGTTGTACTGGATAACGACACAACCTTGAAAGAACGCATCTTTTGATTGGACAACAGACATCCTTCTTATTCTATACTGTCTTTTTGCCACTTGAGCTTTGAACATCATATGACATCAAGGGGACATGCGACTCAAAACMGTGCGCAGTTTGTTAATGTTATGTTCTATGTAGCACTATATTGTAAGTGTAGTGCTTTTGGAAAACATTCAATAGACATTACCTGCCTTCTGCCTTCTGACTGAAAGAAAAATAGAAGTTGATAATTTTCATCTGATGCATATTGTAGGCGAGATCAAAACAGTTTTATCAGAGGCATCTACTGGGATTTCAAGTCGTACAGGACAAGTTAAGAAAATAACGCCCGTTTGTACTGACAAGACTGAAAAAATGACGTCTAGTAACAAGCGATTACTGGTAAGTTTCTAAAGATTGCACACATCATGATTTCAGTATTATAAAATAGCATTTTATCATGTTTTAGGAGCAACTTGAAGAGAATTTTTATCGAAGTCAACCAGAGTTTTTCAAACGAACATCAGACTTTACAGTCGAAAGGTGAGTGATATCAAATCATGGTAATGATTTTTGTCGGGGTTGCATGCCCTCCTGAGAGCCCTCCATCCCTCCCTGAGGAAAATCCTGTATCCGCCCCTAATTTGTATTTACTAACTATCCCCAGGCTGTGTTCCAATATACTGCACCAAATAAAAACGTCGATAGTACCAACAGCTTGTAAGAAGGGCGCTCAAGAGATTGAAGCTTACTTGGATAGCATAGGCTTTCCTTCTGAAGGTGACAGCGCACAAGCGAAGGTATGTTTTTTTTTTCTTCTCATCTTTCAGATGCTTGCCTTTGCGATTTGAATAAAAACCTCATTCCTAGGCCTTCCCTGATCGCTTCAGAAAAAGGCCCTAGTAACGAGGTATTGGAATAACTGTATCTTAATGAATAAATATCGAACTAATGAATGGTTCAAGAAATGGAAATTCTGATATATCATATGATTGTTTTAGGAGAAAAGTCGACCTCGCGTACTTCAACTAATCCATTCCGTAACAAGTGATGCAGTAGCAAAGGCTTTGGATATCATTGAGTGAGTTATTCTAGACCTATGTAAGGCTTTTTGTGTGGGAAGTAATCGTTAAACTATTTATAATAATAGGAATAACAGCGAACTCTCACTGAAGTCCTTCCAAGTCCTTTGTCCTGAAGATACAAACTCTAAGGTAAGATTCTGCGCCCTACCTGTTGATTTATTGATTGAGGATAATCATGATGATTATGATGTTAACAAGTTAGCAGTGATGGTTATAGTTTAAAAAATCTTGTGCTTTAGGTCATTAATACTGCAGCTAAACTGACTGCTCGCCATGTTAAGCAAAAATCCACGGACTGGATTCATCTCTCACTTGCAAGTAAGTGTAGTGTAGCAAATCGACTTTGCTGTTGTTACCGTTGTTGATGATGATGTTAAGGATGATCATGATGTTTTTGTTATTGTTGATGATGTTGCTATTGTTGTTGTTGCTGTTGTTGATGGTGATGATGTTGTTGTTGCTGTTGTTGTTGTTGTTGTTGTTGTTGTTTTACATGTACCAAACATACGCTTAGTCACATGACCGTGTTTAATTAAGGATTTCCTCGTCATATTCAGGCATTGTCGAGAAAGATCTTTTTAACCATTTTGACAAGCACACCAATGCCTTACTACATGCCAAAGCTAAAGAAAGCAGACTTCAGGAGGCTATCAAACAATCAGATAAGAAGGATTCTCTTGTCGTAGAAGCTAGTGATAATTCTCCGTCCCGATAGCTGAACTTTTTGTATCTCATGAACGCTGCAGTTAGAAATCTAACAATTTAGAAGGTACGTGCACGTTCAAAACTCTAGAGCAAATTACTTTGTATAATAACCCTGAAAATACGTAGTACCAATGTATAGAAGTTACTAGAATGTGTTTAAATTACGGCGCCGATGAATTTCTGTGAATAGATACTATTTTCTAGCCTGGGAATTTTATTTGTATAAATAATGCACATAGCATGAATAATTATGATAAATCATGTAAATAAACCCTATTTTACTTCGATTGGTGATGATTTTGGATAGCTRAACGAACGGTTATATCTCATAGTGGGTTTAAACATACATAACAAAGAACTGTCAACCATTCTCGCTAAATATTCTATCGCTAATCACGTGACCCTTAATTGTTGATTGTGGGTCAAGCATGCGTTTGATTGGGGTTAACCGCTGTATATGTCATCGCARCGGYATAATAGACAGCGCTTTTTTKGTACATTTGCTTTTATTTTTTTACTCGTTATGGTTTTACTTATACTCTGTCGTATGACATTACGCACATCGAATGACCGTAGGTTCAATGTACTTTGTAAACCCTTAAGCTTTAGCTTATTTGTTGAATGAGTTTCGTAGCGTTCAGATATGCCACTCATGTATYTGGAGATGTTCAGTTGTGAATATATACGTATTTTAAAATGAAACCCTTGTAGCCTTGCTTGTCGAGACCGTAGCCCGTCTATATTTCCTACAGAGAACTTGGAAGCTTTTTCCCAATAGAACGTATGTGCCGAAGATGACTCGGTATTCTCAGCGCATTACAGTCGCAATGATCTTGGAGTAAGGTTGATGCCACGATGCGGAGAAAGAAGTTGGTTATTTGACTTCTCTTGCTCGACCTTCGCACAAAGTTCGTTAATGCTGTTCAAACTTGCATACATTCCCGACTTGGAATGGAAAGCGTTATAGAGATCTTTTTCTTCTGTTTCGTCTTGTTCATCACCKATYCCACCTTCTTCGTTGCTGTAGACGCTGTACAATGATATATCATCCTTTTCAACTTGTTCTACMACCTTTTCCGGCTCAGGCTCGACCACCGATAGATAGACAGAAAGTGTRCTTCCCAATTTGAAGCTCTCCTCACTTTTGTTATCCACAATCTCGGCATTAACTGCATCTGAGAGRTCYTCGTCGTTGGTTGCTGCCAAGAGATCGCGCTCTATATTCCGCAAATTCATTTTGATTTCTTCCAAGCAGGCAAGTTCTCCCAGAATGTCGTCCTCGTTATCGAAGGTTGCCAAAGGCACGAGGTACCGGATTATGTCGCTCTGCTCATTTTCTACCAATTCGAAAAGTGGGTCCGAYTCRAATACTTCTTCAGCACCAYAGCAGAGTTCCCCTGCATCAAAAGAAGCATCGTCGCTTGCCTCTAGCGGTTCYTTGCATGGGTCTATCAAGTTGTCTGTTTCTTCGAGTTTCATGTCCCCTTTTCTCTTCCAGCGCTTTTCAAAGTCGTGTAACTCTTTCATAAGCTCTCTGAAAAAGCTTTTCATGTAATCCTCGATATATCTTCGTAGAGCAATAGAGATAGTTCTTTTTCGTCTAGACTCTCGCACTTCCTTGTACGACGTGTTGAGTATACTGAGAAATACGTTAAGTAAGAGAAAGGCGACAGTGACAGAATATGCAAACGTGTATATAGACCCCAAGACTTTATTAACTCTCTGTACTTTCCTCAGCTGCATTGATGTTCCAAGTAGTTTCTGGAGAACGACGCTCAAAGACCCAATAAAAGAGGAATAGTTTTCAATGTTTTTCCCAAAAAGWAGCATTCCTACTTGGGTAAATGCAATAAGTACAATAAACAGAACCACGTAGAATGATTGTAAGTTTTTAGTGGAGTGTTTTAATGTCAACATTAAGTTTCCTATATGATTGTTGAACCGTAGAAGCCTTAAAAACTTAATGGTCATTATAAATATGACAAAGGACAACAARTAAACTTCGATGTTTGACCATAGAACTATGAAGTCAGTGCTTGTCGTTTGAAATGGATTGTCGTGAACGCCTTTWATAAAATCACTGACGAATTTCTCTTTAAAGAATARAGTTCCCATCGCAAGTAATGCAGATGTGATKAGGATCAAATCCAGCCAGCTCCAGAATCTCAAGAAGTAGGTGCAACCTTTTCTGTAAACCTTGAAGCATTCACAGGCAAACAATATAGTTACGATTACAACAAAGAGGAGTTGACACGTTTGAAAGACGTTTTTAAAGCCAGGATCAGTTGATCCATACACAGTGAGGGGTTCCACACGAATGGCTGGTTTTAGTGAACCSGTAGGAAGACGCTCAAACAGCACTTTGACTGCACTGTACAGTGAGGTTGCTGGCTCAAAGACTGTYAGTTCTACAAAGACAGCAGCCGTACGATTATCAATCCATTCCTTCTTCTTAAGGTCGTCTATAACCCTTGAAGCACTTTYGTTGTTGTAGCCCAAGTCCGCTACGTAACCACCACCGCTGTAGCTTGCGTAAGTTCCCTTATAYGCAAGGGCATTAAGCGCAATGGCGTCTTGATAACGCCATGGGCGTGGACAGGTCTTCCTCAGGTCGAATGATGTTCGGAATATTGATATGTTGTTGATTGGCTTCCAAACAGGCTTATTATATTTGGTCTTGTATTCATAGTTTGATTTATAAAACGGAAGACATCGTGGTATGTGGACACCTAGGRCGGGGTAGTCTTCAGCAATCATACATTTTACTGAAAAGAATGAAAGATAAAGATAATTTCTCTAATAAGGCGAAAATACTAGTTAAATGTTTTTAAATGCTCTTTATTCCCGGAAAAGTATGTACTTATTGACTGAGTGGGAGGGCCGTACGGGAAAATATTTGGCTCGAGGTTATGCCGTACGGACCGAGCGCAACGAGGTCCGTACAAATGACCGAGAGCCAAATATTTTTCCGTACGGCCCGACCTAACTCAGTCAATAAGCATTTTATCATATGACAGCGTTTTTTAATGTAAAAAAAATAAATAAAAGCGCGCGGAACTTCAAGCCGGGAAAATACGGGTTTGTACGGACCTGTCGCGAAAAGGCGTACGGACCCCATCACGCGACCATTTTCCAAAGGTTTCAGTGAGAGCGCGCGTAGGGCCGAAATACGGGTCATATGATAATATACTATATTCTACTATACGCAGTCCGATGGTCTAGACGTACCTGTTTGTATTCGAAGTTGACGAATTCTTGGCATTCCAACCAGGTAGCTCTCTCTATTGCTTATAAATCCTTCATCATAGCTGAATGGTTTACCATTGTACCATGTGGCGTTATAGATTCCAGGAATGAAGATCATCTCCGTCCAGTTCCAAAACCCGCTTATATTCTTTACCTGTCAAGGGAAACCAGAAGATAAAAACAAACAAGTTGCAAATTAGATTTGACGAATATTTTTCCTGAAAAGAATTCATTCTTTCACTGGCAAAATTGTATTCTCCCGCTCTGATAGGATTGAGACAAATTCAAAATTACTTTTCTGACGAAGTCTGTCGGAGTTACTTACCCTATTGTAATCTCTCATGACATGGACCATCTCATCTTTAAGGTCGAACCTTGTTGTTTTACGGTTTCCATAGCAAACAATAAACAACAATATGGCGAATAAAACGTAGGTAACGATCTCGGTGAACGCCCTTGCAGTTTTTAAGATTTTCTTTCTCGCTAACCGAGCGTTTTCCAGTTCTTCGCCTTTGAGTGTTGGGACCTTTTTCTGTTTTAGTTTGTTCTTCCAGCGTGGTGAGCCACGAGCTTTTTCGAGATCTGGTGGCTTTTTCAATAACAACGCGAGCAATGAAGCTATTAAGATTACTTTTATTGGTTGAGTGAAGAAAATATCCTGCACTAATGAAACTAGGATGGAAGTGAGCCATTCGTTTGCAGTTTCRCCACCCCAGGACAAGCTGTACAGAATGATAACAGTTGCTGAAGCAATTGACGTTCCAATGCACAAGAACCACCCCAGGTACACAAATCCATGACGTAGACCTTGACTTTTATCGGACTTTTGACCTTTGGCGATGGTGGAAATTGCCTGGTAAATCTCTGGTGAATTATCCTTAGGACGAGCATTTCTRAAGATAGTCACAATAATTGCATTCACGGGAATGGCAATCAATGCACTTTGAAGACCTATCTTGACCTGGGTCCAACTGACTTTCAGGGGGCCAAGTTTRAAGGTGTCGTGCACTTGGCTTCCAAACTGATAAAACATAGCATTGGTTACCATAGTTGCAAAAATGATTGACAGGCAGCATGARAGTCTCTGCACACGCGTGAACGTCGATTGAGGGGGACGCATGAATACAGATGCCCACAAGTGACCGTCTGCCAAACTGTTTGATGCCCTGGAATGGAAGACGTTCTTAAAGCCTCGAATCTCTTTCTTTTCAGCTGCGCGGACTTCAGTTTCGATTTCCCCGTCGCCCTTTTCAAGTGCAAGCCACTTGTTGGCCAGGAAAATCCATTCTGTATTGTCTTGTTGGTCCCTGATTTCAACCTCTCTAAGGAACCACGCGGGACTGATGCCGTTGTTGTCATGCCAGATCTTGATCTTGTACAAATTTCCCAGACCCTTGGGCAAGTATAGCATAAACGTGTTGATACTTCCCCTAGCGAAGAATTTCTTGTTGAGTGTAGTGTCGTTCAACGTTATTGTTTCTGTGTAACCACTGTCTCCATATAAGATCATGCCCACATTTGCGGTCGTTCCATTGCCCCTCCATACACCAGTGGCAACTGATATTTCGTAGAGATAGTCACCACGATCTGACAGGTAGATATCTGGAATAGCCTGCAAAAATGATTCATCGTACACAATGACACATTTCCATGTCTCCATTTCATTGAAGTGACTTCTAGGAATAGCCGACTTTAGATATTTTGGTTCAGTGACCATGCTAAAAAGAATTGCAGACGGGGCTCCGGGGAAATAAAAGAATAAATCAAGATTATCCATTGTTTTCCCGGAGCCTCGTCTGCAATTCTTTTGTACATAGTCATCGAACCAAAATATYTAAAGTTGACTATTGTTTAGATGCATTTAAAGCAATGTACATTAATGTCCTAAGTCAAGTGCTGCGGACTGTTAAATGAAGAACGATGCAAACGAGGCGTATTTTATAGGTATTTTAAGGGAAACAACTCAACCTGCAATATACAAACAATTTCTACTTACTTTCCTTTCATCGTTGTTGTCAGCTCTTCGTGCAATTATAATCCCAATCAGGTACAAAACTACAATTGCTAAAACGGTCGTCATTACGACAAAGTCTTCTACTTTGGGGTTTGTTAAGGTAAGAAACACTTTATCAAAGTCGATGGGGTTTGGCTGTATGAAGAAGTCGCCACCAAATGTTGTAAGGTGATTACAAAGACAGTGAATCGAGCCGTTGACGGTTAACGGGCCTGACTGAAAGACGAAATAATGGTACTGTTAGCTGGTGAATTCTATTTGTAGCTGCAAAAGGGAACTATTTGTTGGTCTTTTAATTCATATACATTCATACAAGCATGAAGCTATAATCAATGACCAAGTAAGCATCAGACAGATAAATGATTTGCTATGATTTACCTTACAYCCATGGTTCGTCCAAATCTGTTCCCTTTCAGACCAGTACAGGCAAGCAGACGATGAAATCGTCAAGGTGTAATTGATATCTGTCGTTTTATTATATTGAGGAATAATGACACGTGTTGGAGCAGGCATAGTAGGCGGGTCCTTAACACCGACACATGATCTTTTCTTCCTTCTTCCTGAACCACAGTCCCTCTTGAGACGTTGTCTGACTTCTTGGTGGATGCTATCTGAATCCAAATACCTAATACCAACAAAGTGCTTCCCTGTTTTCCCAGTCAAAGTACTCGAAATGTTGAATATGTACGGATCTTCACTGCAGTTAACATGCGACATGGTGCCGTTGATCACAACACTTTGACATCTGCTAAAGTCTGGGATGACAGTTGTGTAGTTATATTTCCATGGTAATGGTCTTACAAGCGCTCTGACAAAAACCTCGAGCTTTCGTCCTTTGGGGGGCTGAAGTCTAATCATGACAACGGAGTGCTTGTTCTGGATATTAAAAATATGATATCGCAGTCTTGAGATATCAGAAGTATTTGTTGTTGGCTTGATAAAGTTTGGAGCGATTGGTAAATTGGGAAGAGGTTTGTCCACTGGGATAAAGATGCCAATTGGATTGTTCAGGTTGGTCACTTCAAAGTGTTTGCCGTTGTTATAAAGGTTGATATCGATGGCCCAYGAGTTGACAAGGTTGGCTGTACTATCCCAGGTGAAAGGATTATTGGTGAACATTATAATCTAAAAATTAATCATAACTTTACATTAATTTTGAATTCTAAATACAGTTTTACCGGTCAGTTCGTCGTGCGTTTGTTTTGATTTTACAATTGATTTCTTTATTCCGATATTTGTTTCTTTTTTTTCCTTTCCTCTTTCTTTATCTTCTTTCTATTTCTTTTATTACTTTCTTTTTCTTTTTTCTCTTTTTTTATTACTGTATTTAAGGGTAATARTCACCTTGGATTGAACTGAAGACAACGAACTTGCGTTGCTGCTATGAAAAATTGYCCCAAGTGAAGGAAAAYGAACGTTTCTACCACTRAAAGGAGCCAAAGGCGTTCCTGACAATTTACGCAACATTGATGGAGAATTCTTTGAGATTATCACTGAAATTGTCTTCGCATTGAACATTCTTGGTTTTTCGTCCATCTTTTGAGTAGTCAGCAATGTATCACCGATCTCTCGGAGTTCTTGTAAAGCTTTTTCGGTGTTTTGTTTATTCTAAAATTGAACATGGAAATCAAACATTTTTTTTAGCTGTTTAACTTTGTTTCTAAAGTAGTGATAGATGGTATACCAGCAAAAACTACTGTTTTGCCATATCCTTACCCTCAGTCTCTTAAAGTGGTCCATCTCTGGTGTGTTGCGCATTGCATATGTAAACGACTGCAACAGATTACCGATTCCTTGGATGAAGTTGATAGATGTTGCTTTGGCGAGTTCKGAAAGAACTCCATTTCTCAGGATTTCCCTTTTCAAAAAGTCTTTCGTAGTGCTTAATAATTTTAAGGCTTTTTCCTTTAGAGAAATGTAAAGAAAAWTATGATATTTTACGACAATTGAGTTAGGAGCAAGGTCCTTTACCTCCACGTCGAGTCAATCAGACAATCCTCACGAGTTGGCCAGATAAAGTTATCTAGGATCTATGTGCATTTTTCCCTATCATCCCCATATTTATTTGTCTGGATATTTCGGTATTTGTTATTGGTCGAGGAAGGTAAAATACATATCTGATAACATACCTGCATTGTAAGTGTWATTTCTTCTGGATTTATTGTGGCAAGATTTACAACCGTCAATATTTGAGTTGTTTGTTCCCAATTTGTTGTATTCCTWGATGCGTCTAATTTCTCTAAAATCTTGTTCTTCAACTATGATAAAATGAATAGTGATGGTAGGTAAAAAATGGTGGAAGTTAATTTAAACATGAAGTTTGTGCTGGTCTGTTTCGTAAAGTCCTCTGAMAACTTTATCCTGCTTTCGAAATATGCCACGGTGCCTGCTAATAACAAGAGGTCAATTCCTACAGCAGATGGTTTGTAGATCTGTATAAGAAATACTTTTCCAGGGAGCAAAATATATTTTTTATTAACGTTCAACATTCCCATACCTTCGTGGCAACGTCTTTTGTCACACCAAGATTTTTCCGCAAACGTGTGTCTTTATTTCCATTCTTGGTATCTGAAGTATCCACAATCGAACATAAAGCTATCGCCAACTCGTTTGCAGATGTTGTTTGGTTGTTYTTGATGAAAATGTCAAGGTCGTTATCGGTRTCTTTGATGATTCCTTGGATCTGTTCAGCCAAGTCTGTTTGGTTGGGTACCAATACCTGAGTTTGCAAGGTCATTGTAAAGTAAGTGAGAGAGTTTGTRAAGGATATTCAAGATTCAAGGAAAATTTAGTATGGCTGGGAAATAACACTGTAGCTTGTACTCACCTTTGCTTTCTTAGTAAGCATTGTATAATCTCCAGCTTCATCATAAATCTTAATTTGTACAGAAATTGTATCGTTGTCTTCTTTGATACCTCGCGGCAGTCTAGTCGAWGCGCTAGACATGGGTCCTTTCTTTATAATCACTATGTTACTGAATCGCTTGTACCTGAACTCAAAGGAATCTACTCCATCTTCGTCGTACCATTCGCCACATTTGATATGGAAATCTGTCTCCCACGCCTTGCCGTAAGATGGGGTCAATTCRCACCCTTTTGTRTTGGATTCTACTGGTCGAGGAGGGGAGTTTAACTCTAAAGTAAGCTCGTCTTCCTCTTCGAGAATTTTYCTGTTAACTGTTATYTTAATTGTTGCTCGTATTTTAATRCGTTGATTTCTTATTTTCCAGTTCCCGATRTTCATAAGACTTGTCAAGATCAAACTCCGCTGATGTCTAAGTCCCTCAATGAAATTGTTAAGATTSTCCACCTTTCTCCACCATGACCCATTCACCCTGCTTCGTTGTTCTGTAAAAACATTCCACCTATAGCTTGATATTGTGGGACACGGCCTACCTATGCATTTTGTGTCTAGGATGAGGTTTCTTAACTTGCTTACTTTTTCGAATTTATCCCATGATGTGAGATTTTTGCAGTTGCTGGTACATCTAGCGATCACAAAAAGGTAATTAGTTAATATAGAAGCTTTCAGAATTCTTCTTTTGCAGGTTACGTCACAGCGGCCATCTTGGAGGAACTTTAACAAAGGATTTCTTATTAGTATCTATTGTTCATTCCTCCAACATGGCCGCCGGTCTTTTATCTTTTGAATCTCATGTGAATGGTTGAAAACGATCAATTACGTTAATTGGATCCGTCTTTTGGAAACACTAACACATATTTGACAAATTGCGCACGGTTTTAAGTTGTATGTCCTCTTATTGACACACTCTTGATACACAGAAGTGCTCAAGTGGCTCTTATTAGGCGCGGTGTTCGTTCTTACCTGACTTTAAGCTTCACCGATGGATTGATCGTTAAAGTGTGCTCCATTTCAGTCTTTCTTCGTCCTTTGGACACAACTACCTTGAAGATGTACTTGTACTTCGACTTCATCTTATCAACTTCTACTTCGAGTTTTGGACCCTTATGGGATAGTCGACCAGGACCATACCCGAAACATCCATCGTCCGTGAATGGTCTACCATGGTCTACATCTGCTGGGATCGAACGCATAAACTGTTTTGTGTAGAGATAGCGAAATCGATATCGTTGACGACGTCKTGCCGAATACTGCGCATAAGTAAAATCATCCTCGCGTTTACAAAACCAGGTGAAAATWAGTTTTCCATCCTGATCCGTTGGTGTATCTGGATCATTTGATTTGGAAGCATCCAATATTATCTTGCCCTGGCCTTTCTTGGCCTCTTKTGGCCCCGTGATATTGACCACTAAAGGTGGAAGTTCAATTTTAACAAGTCCGTATGAAAACACTTCGATCTGCTCTGTTTTTAGTACATGYCGGACATAGATTAACGTTGGTGGGAATCTACGTGCTGGAATTGTAACTTTTCCACCSTTTCCAGGAAGCGGGATAAGTGGAGAGAACGTTTTGCTTGATTCGTACATGACGGAAGCCTCCCATCGTCCRTAGGATTTCTTAAAGATTTTACATTGGTGCTTGGCCTCGGCACTAACGTTCTCCGTTCTTAGGATTAGTGTGGCGTTTGAGGGATGAGGGTTTAGGTTGATCTTCATATCACAYAGGTAATCCTGGTCATCTTCGAATATTAAAATAGGTAGAATATATAAGTATAGAACGTCTATGACCCAGTGTGTTATATGGGCGTGGTCGGCTCTAAATCGTAATCTTTTTCTTAAGTGTTATCAAAATTTTAACTTAAAATTTTAAATTCATGTCCACAATTTATGTAATAAATATAATATTTTAACGATAAATTAGTTCCATACTTAGCTCTATGAGTCACAAGAGTATAGATGAACCTTTGAACAAAATAAACTTACTCAGATGGTGGAAGTACAGACGTTTTGGGTCTAGGAAAACTTTGTCCTTGGCTACTTTCTCTTGAAGCGCAATCTCAAGGTAATCTGTTGTATTCTCAATACACTGAATTTCCACCTCAGCTTCGGTTTGTGCTTTTGGGGAATTAGGCTTATTCCACGGACTGAAAGGGAAAAATTGYGATATTAGTGCTGCGTGAAACATCTGTAAGCCTCGAAATGGAGATTCACACACGGCACGTCAGAAGGACAGGTATYCWGAACTTAGGGAAGTCTGCGAGGGYGATTACACTCAACATGTCTGCATRTWAGCACTTACTTAAATCGAATGACTTTCGCTGAGAGGAATCCAGGAATTGTTCTTGCAAGAAAAGCAACCTGTTAAAGAAAACTGAGTCAATTTCATAATAGTAACAAGCTATGACATCAAAAGCAAATACCTCGTGTTGGATATCGGCAGCTAAGCTAATGTAATCTACGCTTGTTGCGTCAAGATATGCCTCGTCRAAAGGAAACCCGATGGGTGATACCATTGCTTGGATATGGTASCCTAAAAACAAGAATCACTGTTACTACAGTAAACTCTCGTTATTACGGACACCGTCGGGACCGTAATCTAGTGTCCGTAGTAGCGAGGGTCCGTAGTAACGAGAGTTACTTTCAGTCATTCCTTTTTTTTTYCGGGGATTCATTATTTTACTGTCCGCAATACTGTCCGTTGTCCGCTGTGTTACTGTCCTTTGTAGAGGGGTGTCGGTAAGGCGAGAGTTGACTGTATTTCTTGTGTACATACAAATTCATTTTTTGACTTAGCTTTTCTCAGTATACTATGCTTGAATTCAAAGCTAAAGCATGATCAATTGATGCTTTTTTGTCACTCAGATTGTATGAATCAATGAACGAAAAACGTCCTCTGAGTGTAYTGTAATKATTTTAGATCGTACAGAGTTCGCGTCAGTTAAGATCGATAAGGCTCGATCCACACTTCTTACTTGCAGGGTCAGTTGAGGGAAAATTTGGCCAAATATCGTTAAATGTTTACCTGGTTTACATCCAAAGAGCTCCATGCGTAGTGCGATGTTTCTGTGCCATTTTGTGGGATATAACGTTACCGATGATGCTATGACTGGTATTGGGAAACCATTAAACTTKACTKWTGATCTGTCATTATTACCWATAAAAACCTGTGAAAGAGAAGCACGTTTGATCAATGGAGTCGTTTGAAAATAGWTTTGAAAAAGCTCGACRCATGAAAATACTTGTGTGATCCTGGTCGTTATAGCGGAGTGGTCGGATTAAGCGGGTGGCYGTAAGGTAATATTACCTTCTTTGTTCCATTCAGATCTTTGATTGGTGCATAATCAAATCCTGATGACGTCATAATGACGTATTCCGTGATCCATTCCTGGACATTCTTGTCTCCATGCCCCTGTGTAGCAATTCCCGTTAGGATCCACTTCTTTCCCAAGTCTACCATAATCCACGGGTTGTCGTGGACGAGAGGTTGTGCTCGGTAGCCTGTGYTATGATATAATCTTGCGAGATGTGCTCCATATGTTTCATAATCTCTGTTATACACAGAAACTGCCTTTAGGTGACTGTTTGGTATGTTGCTAGTGTTTGAGATTCCAATGGCTTGACCACAAATGTCTGTTAATGAAAATGAAAAGTTATTAAGCTGACCACGTTATAACCACACATGTGAATGACGTCATTCGATGCTCTAGACGCGTGAACCATTGTTGAGAAATAAAGAACATTCTAGCTACAGTKAGTTAACTAAACAAAGCCAATAAAAACCATTTGTTATTTTACTRGGGTTTTTGTTGTTTCACTAGAAAAAAGTACATTGGTAAACCGATGCAATTTCACTGATGTGTATAAATGACGGCTTTTTTGAATTCATTATTTCTATTAGCTGATGTGTTAATTTTCTCTTGTTCACTAGATTAATTCCACTTTTGTGGACAAGGCTGTTAGCGTGTTGTAATGACCGATCAAAGGGACGACAGAGTATATAATGGGGGCCCACCCAGACTCCTGATTGGCTCTTTCCAATATCGGCATTGATATAAACTATATATGGATGCTTATATTATAAATATTTCATTTTTGAGATAACATATCATAGAACATTGCAGCATAACTAGTAATAAAACATAGTTAAAACGTAAGGAGATGAAAAGCATGTGATTCGGCGGTTAAAACAAATCTTCTTTTTGTACCAAATATTAATTTAGAGGCACTCCTCGAAAATAAAACGATTTTTAAAGCACTCCAGTTCCCAATGCGAATGATCGGTATAATGCAAAGCAACCGATCATAACAGATGTCCAAGCCTGACGTACAATTGTATTTTRTATCAACCAATAGTCGAGTTCATTAACTATATATATTATGAAGTGCCCATCAAAAAGTCAATCGACTTTCTTATGTAATATTTTACTTGAAGGTSTAATTCAAAACGCAAATTAGCCAAACTTTTGCTTATCCTATGTTGATTGTTACGTTAGGGATCCAATATGGCGGCACTTGCCACAAGTTCATTTCTTTTATTTTCACTGAGTTTTTTCCTTTTTTCTTTCTTTTTTCCTCATTTGTTACTGCAATGAAATATATGGAGGAGATCTAAACGTGGCTCATACWTAAATAGTTTGAGGTAGATAGCAAACCAAAGCTCAATGACCAGAGTGATTACTGGTAGCGACTATCCGRCCAACTTGGCGGCTTGATGGTCAAGTCTTTGATAGATCTACATCAACAATACCATGAGCCAAAAATTCTTATGATATATGTATTCATTGACCTTGTTTAAGGAAACAACGAAGTCATTAAAAGTTGACATGAACTTTATGAATAATGCTGCGATCTTTCCGCTCGCCGTCATTGTCTGTCAGTGACCACAATGTGGTGAGATGGACAGCCTTATATCGTTTAAAATGCGTGCAAACATCTGTTGATATTGTTTGCGCTGTTAATACGACAACCTTAAATGAGCAAAACAACTGACAAAATCGTAATWATTTTTRATGGATAGTTCGCAATACTTTTCTGAGTTTTTTTCATTTCTAATTTGACAMGAATATTGTCATTTTCTTTCTATTGTATTCTTTCTTTTTTTAACCCCCTTACATGTTTGCCGAATTATTCACATACCTGTATATTTATAAACAATTCCTCACCTCAGGGTGAGCGGCTATCCGTGATGAATTTTCACCTCAACTTTGACTTTGTGCGTTTACTTCGGCGAATAATTGTCAATCATTCAATGTAATTTCACTATTC